GATTATGAACTTGCATGGTGATTATGAACGCGCGTCGTATACTGTATCTGGGAGTCTGGCCAGGGTTGCTGGATAAGAGGGTTTAAACTATAGGGGATTCATTTTGCCGGTAGATGTCACGTTTGTATGACGCGCGTGGATTTTTTGGTGGGTCACCTCTCGTGTACAAGTGCCAGAGTTCGCAGGAATTCGTTGGCGAACGTTCTCCTCAGAGAAAAATGCAGTATTTTCAGATAGTTCACTTATTTATATGGGAAACCCAAACTTTCATCCGCACTACTGAAGTTGAGGGACTCCCAACAAGAAGACCCATGTGTGCATGGATTGTGTGCTGACGTTACTCATCCGAGAGAATACGTATCCGTTCTTTTACTACGGTTATGTTCTCGCTAATGTTACAGGAAGTGCATACTTCGGAGTGAGGGGTTAGTGTCGCTGCAGTTATCACCTGGCAAATGTTACAAAGCTATCCTGGAGCCCGTGTGTTCATGATATATGATTGTCGATTGAACATTTGTGGAAGCAAAAGTGTCACGTCACCGAAGGAATTCTTGTAGTGTATTCATTCTTGTATGCCGTAGTAAACTGTGAACTCTTTATTCCGGCGATGGATTGTGCTCTTTTCGTAAGTACACTTCGAGCGCGTCGCCGGTCTGGTCATAACTTTTTTGAACTGATTTCAGGAACCGTCTCTGTACATCGTCAAGGGAATTGTTATTATGGATAACGATGGAAATCGCCTTCTGGCGAATTATTACGACCAGAAAGCATTCCCGTCGAATAAGGAGCAGAAAGCATTCGAGAAAAACTTGTTCTCTAAGACTCATCGGGCAGCTGCTGAGATTATCATGTTGGATGGCTTCATTTGCGTGTACCGTTCCCACGTAGACCTCTTCTTCTATGTCATCGGGAGTACCCAGGAGAACGAGGTTTGAAATCTTTCGTAACAATATTGTTTGAAACCACCGCTTATAGGCACCGTTCCTTTTCAGCTTCTGCTCGTCTCAGTTTTGAATACAGTGTACGATTCCGTGCAGCAGATTTTGCGGAAGAATGCGGAGAAGCGAGCCCTCCTAGACAATTTGGACGTTGTTATGCTTGCGATCGACGAAATCTGTGATAGAGGGTAATATAAATATTTCGTTAACCTTGATTGATACTGTATAAGGACGTTTCCGCTTTCTCAAATCCCACAGCTTCCATATTTTTTAAATCATTTTTTCATTTGATAATCGAAGTACAGTATATGGTTTTAGCTCCCGACTTCATAAATGGAGAAGCTGATTTTGTGAAAAATGTTCTGGTTACAGAATTCTCTTGGATGCGGATGTATCAAGTGTTGTGTCCCGAGTATCTTTGAGGGCTGATGACATTCCTATTGGGGAGCAAACTGTTGCGCAAGTAAGTTTTCAAGCCTCGTTATTCTGTAATCTCATCAACGCTTTAGCTTGTCCCGGATTCATGAAATTGTAGTTGGTGAACAGTGAATCTCTCCATTTTCTTATTGATGGCATTTTTGTAATTTGTTTCTCGGGCTATTATAGTGTATAGCGTTGTGCGTGGAAGCTTTCTAGAGAAACATTCATCATTGTTCGTTATCAAATACCCGTGTTTCTCTTTCAAAGGTTCTCCAAACGGCTAAGGAGCAGTTGAAGTGGTCGTTACTGAAATGAAGAAAATATCAAGAAACAAGAATCAGATTTTGGGATTCGTCTCATTGTATTTTCGATCCCTGCATGAGGATGGGTTGCCTCCGATGCATTTTCCTGGCGTGTGTTACGTTTGAATCATTCGAATCTGTGGTACTATTATAAAACCAAGCTTTCGCATTTATTTAGGATTTCACGGAAGAAGGAAAGATACTTTATTTGAGTTTCTTGAGGATTTGTTTACTGTCTGGGAAGTTTCGCGTATCATGGGTTTGCGAGAACCTTGGGTGAAGCCACTTTTTGGAACGTCAGCGACAGACGTGGCGCATCGTATTTTTCGCTTCCCAATTTCCTCCACGGCTCCACCTCATCAACAGATTCATGAAACTGTTCTATGAGGTATCACACCTCTCTATGCTGACGTGGATAAGTTGGGGGTATTTCTCAATCAATTCCTACATTGATTGAGGATTCATCTTGAGCCGAGCGGACGAACCGTATGAGTAAACTTACTGCTGTTTCTTTTGGTCTTCATCGTCATGAATTTGGGGTTCCGAACAGTCGTTTGCTATAACTTTCGCCTTTGGCGTGACCGATGAGTACCTGAAAACGGTGTTCGGTGATTCTGGCAACGCGAAAGGAAAAACGGTGGCCTACCAGTGGTATTATGATTCAAATGTCATCATTACGAGAGATGAAGAGCACCTCGAACAAAGGAAATCAAAATAGGCCAGCGATATCGAAGGAGGGGAAAATAAACATAGATGTCGTTAGCATCAGGAGAGACGATTTCTGCTCCAGCGAAGAATCATCCCGTCAGATGTTTCCGATGGAATTCGTCCGTATCATCCCAGGGTTCCCGACGATGTCCTTGAACCACGACGTCCTACCTTGCCCCAAGTGACTTCTGTCTTTTTCCGAACCGATAGAAGACGCACGTACTTCATAGTGGGATTAGGCGAGAAGCTGATATTCTAGAATACAGAACTTCCCTGATGTCAGAACGGACTCCGTACCGTATATGGATCGTCGTCAATATATGAAATTATATTCTGTGGATGGACCAGCTGATGAAGATATCGGGCAAGTTATTTCTTGAAAAATTTAAATTCAAGTAAGAAGAGTGTTCAAAAAATTAATTATCCGGTCATCACTATTCATTTACGACTACTGTAATGAAATCTTGGATTTCAAAACAGTTTTCCTCAAGCTTCAACTAAAATGTAGCAGGTCTCGTGCAGCGATTGTTCAGGTTATTTGGTAGGGAAACAAATTAAACAGTCCCTGGATATGAGCATGGATATGATCTCACTACTGTTACAGAACTTTCAACATTAATTCAATCTATGAATTTGAAGCAGCTTCAGTTGACTATTCATGTTCATGGGGAGGGGGGGGATTACCTCATGTGCAAGGACCAATTCGGTTAAGCTCAGTACAGTACTTGGTTCCTTTTCATGCTCGATGCATTCACGGACATCGGATTCACAGATTTTGGTGAGGAGAATACAGTACAGTATTTCGCAGCCGTATTTTGCGAGTTCATAT